AAGACTTACTAGATATTGTAATCTCTCCTCAACCTTAACAGTAAACTTCCATGCTTTACTCGTTTACAAAGCTGAACAAAAATACTCTCGTAATAACATCGCAATGATACGTAAAAATAGAGCTTAACAGACTAAACAAGAAAAAAGAAGTACTATTTATTTTGCTACAAATAATTTTATTTAACTAAAATGTGACAAACCCACCCTAGCTTGAGGTAAAAGAGCCTCTGTAATAAGTACAATGATTAATGACACTATTTAGTTCACGTTGCTTCGATCAGTTAGCTAGGTTGACCTTAACAACATGTCACTAACACTGATGCACTCCGACACCTTAGCCAAGACAGTATTAGTTCAAGGTTACTTGACCTATCACTAGATACATCCGCCAAATGCCGAAATGCACCATTGACCTAGCAACGAGGCATACTATTATTAGTCACCGCTCATCGCCAGAGCAGCCACAAAGTTCGCTTTTGTCTTTGTAACTTGCGCCGACAGTGTTTTACTCTGGCAACTTAGCCAATATTGCTAATGTTTCAGTAAGGGCTCAAAATGCTCTTCATTTACTAAGTCTAAAATAAATAGCTTCAGAAGACAATGCCAGAATACCTCACTTCGGCGTTATTCTAAAAAGTTCAAGGTTAATTAGCCTTTACTAATTAATAGTCAATGCCCTCTTAAGGTTGGCCATAGAGCTATACGGTTCTAGTACCAAACACGAAGGCACCAGGCGCAAGGCATGTGCATAACCATCACGTACGCTCCTTGACGCAAGGAAGATGATATCTGCCAAAGAAGTCAAGCTAATATGAAGGTTTTACCAATTTTAAAGGTCTATCTTTCCATACGACCAGTAAAGAAATTACAGCTTTCCAGAGTAATGTGCAGCCCTGAGCTTAAAGCACACCGCAGGAAGGTAACATAATCACGGTCCATTGGTTTGTAATTCCATAAAGTAGCCCGAAGCATTAACTCGGATACTGCCATAATTTGCTATGAATGAGAATTAATAAACAGTGAGCTTCCAAGAACAGCCGCCGTGCACTGCCGAACAGAAGAGGGTGACCTTAGCCGCGGCAGATAAGCCTACATTTGCACGCCATTTCATCTCTACACCGAAATCCATCGTGAAGCCTAAAAGAATACCATCCATGGTAGACGCTTTTTTATATAGGGATGATTTTTTCCGACCTCTTGACGATAATGGCTTCGCGGCAAAAAGCAATCCTCGCTCCATTAATGAGTGTACACCAGCACCGAGGATTGCTAACAGCCAAAGGCCTTAAAAGAAGTCTAGTGCTACCACTAACAGCCTAACCTACACAGCTGCCAAAATTGAATCTTTAAAGGATAGCCGACGCGTATCTCGCTGTGGTCGAGCCAATGGAGGATGCGACGCCAGCTCCTGCGCTGATACAAAAGATGCCACGTGCAGGAGAGAAAGAGCACACATCGAGAAAGAGCTAATTAGCTTTTATCTCTTATACGGGTTTTTAAACGACTTAATTCGTTAATAATACTCCCAAAGTGTCAAAGACAGTGCTTATACCCGTAGAAAGATAGCAGGCTAAAGTTTTTGATTCTTATGGGTAAATAGCACTAAACTATAGACTAAAATAAGGTGTTGGCTAGGTTTCAACTGGCTTCTTCGCTCGGAGAGTTTTAGCAGTTAAAATTAACACCGTACAAAATAAATTAATCAATATGGTCGCCTTATATATATAGTACTAGTAGCTAAGACTATAGTAACACACATTATTACAGTGGAGTTACACACCAGCCACCAAGTCCAATGAGACAAGGGAAGAACCTAAGCTACAAGGAGAATCAGCCGCCGGCGGCCTTGGAAGGAGGCAAACAATCTTTGCTATCATCGCTCATTGCTAAACTAAGTTTCATGTTTGCTTTTGACCGCACCTAATTGCACTGAACAAGATCTTAACTTAGCAACTTAGCACAGTCCACCAAGGCTTCAGCCAAGGATTTCCATGCTTTTCCTCGGTATATTACAAAAAACTGCCCCGGAAGGTAATGCTAGTACTCAAAGCGGAGCTGTCCTAATAAGTGAAACAGTTGTGATCTGTTTGTGTGTTTATTATTAGGGTTTAGCTATAAAGTTCACTTAGATTTCATCCGTTTAGGACCAAGTCTCGTTAGTGAGCAATACGTTACTAACCATAATGTTAAAACCTAAGATACAGGTAAGATTTAACCTTCCCGAAGGTCTTTACCCAACCTAGAGTTTCTACCAGTTTTAAAAGCAGAATCTTTCGGCCCGTGCGCCCTTAGTATATGTTTGATTGATTAATTCAGCTAGTTATTGCAACTGTAGAACTCTCCGAAGTACTGCAGAAACCTCACAACACAGAACTCTAATAAGGAAGTTACCATAATCACGTTGCATTGGATTTCACTATTAATTAGCCGTTAGTGTCATAGCTGATCTCAAGTAGATTGTTTCAGTTTTTACTGACACCAAGTTCTGACTCCTCTGCAGAGTAGAGATATACATGACCCGTTGAAGTCAAGTTTACTTGCCCGCAGCATTCCACTCTTTGGATGGCAAACCATTAAGTAACCTAGATCGAAACCATCGGAAACTCGTTGGGACTAACGCCTAAGTTGAGCGCTAATTTAATATATAGGGCCAATCTTTTTTGAACACTTTACGATAACGCTCTGGCGGCAAAAAGCAATCTTTGCACCGTTAAAGCATGTACAGTGGAATCGCGAAGCTTCATCAGTTAGGTTCAATTAAACGGTCAAAGGCACCAAAAGAGCACCTAATGCTACCATTAAATTGCACCAGACTGCACAGCGGCCATGAATGGATCTTTAAAGGATAACTGACGCTAGCCTCGCTGTGGTCGCAGCGATAACCAAGGAAGCCTTGCACGTCCCGCGCTAAAAATATGATAAAAAGATTCAAAAGTTAAGATAAAATACTCGCACCGGACGAGCGAGTGCAACGAGGCCCGAGCGAAAAGCTCCTATTTCATATACGAGCGATTCTGGTGTTTAAATATACTAGATAATAGCTCTGTTTTAAATAATAATAATAAAGTTTAATAACATTGATTATTATTAGTAAGTAACAGCACTCAAGAAACGTCACTTAACAATTATAACGATAACAATCAAGGATACTTTCTAGTTAAAAATAATCGCACTTACTTGCACGGAACACGAGCTTAACTGAGTAACTTAGCATGTTCACACAAAAGTGTTCAACAAGGAAATCCCAAGGCCTTTCTAAGCAAATTAGGGTTAAAACTGTATCTAAAGGGAGGTTAGTAGTCAACGCGAAGCTTCAAATTAAGTGAAAGAGTTGTTATCTCTTTGTGTGTTACTTAACTTTAAAGCAACATGGTCATAACTCTAACAAAACAAATCTAGTTAGAGAACGCAAAGGCGTCAAGCACAAGGTAAGCACCTTGAATGGATGCAAATAAATCTGTTAGAGGTAGCTATCAATGCAGAATGATAAAGATAAAGCTCAAGGACTTCCCACCTCACTGAACTTAATGAAATTTAGAGATCACTGTCCAGATCTATAGACCACTCGTCAATACTCGGAAATAAGTACGAGATTACTACCACACGAAGAAGATTCAGAAACAGGCAGCAGAGTCTCGATTTTGACTAGGGTCAAAGTTAGAAACCAAGATTACTTCCTAGTTGGTGAGATTATTACTAGTATCGACCTATTGAAGTTGAAGTTTTTAAGTAAGTTCTTTCACCTTGGAAGAGCATAAGACTCTTTTGGATTGAACTCGAATGAGTAAAGTAGGACTCGAGTCGGGATAGCTTAATAAAACATATAAGATGAAGTATGCAAAAAGACCCTCCAAAAGGCATAAACAGTACTATTACCCATAAAAGTGGAAGGAGGGGCCGCTACTTTTGTTTGCATTAGTAAAGGGAACAATACTATCATACTACTCTCTCTGATAAGTACTACGCTAAAACTGCTGCCATTGATGATAATAAGTACTCTTTTATTATTCACAACTAACTCCACAAGTGCCCAGCCAGATTTAGCTCAAAGCTACAGTAGTTAGACACTACTTAGCCAATTTAATCAAGACTTTTCTTTAGCTACGGAGAATAATTAGGATATTTTTAGTTTATTTCGAATTGACACTTTTCATTATTATTCTTGGAGTATGATGCTAGAATTATAACCTATATAAGTAAGCGCTATTTAAATGCTAAGAAAGGCGGCGCACATACGGTCTAACCATTAATAACTAGAGTTATACCCCTAAAGCTACCGTTAGCATGAAAGTCTAGTACCGAAATCCTGCTACTACTCTATTGAAGCCTAGTACCAAGTTCTAACTCTAGCATAATAATATTTTTTTTACAAATAGTTCATAGCTAGTTTCCAGCTAGTCATAAAGCATCTCGAATCGATGCGAAGAGTATTTACTGACTTGACACTAAGCTAAAAGGAATCAAAGTTAATCTAAAAATTAGCCTTAAAATTAGTCAAAATCAACACAAATTTAGCCAAATCAGGCTAACTCGTTGAGCACATCTCACAAATGGCAGATATGGAAATGAGTAAAATAGTGCACAATACAATGTTAGAAACAAGCATCTCGAACCGATGTTTATTGTGTTATTTAATACCACTCATCATAGCAACCCTCTTATTAGGGTAACCCAAAACGATCTGTTTTTAGTTCAGTTAGTTAGCCAAACTTTATTCCAGAGTACAATAGAAGCTTTTGTCCGCAGCCGTTCACCATAGGTAGTCGCTGGACATACTAGAGTCTCTAACTTAGCCAAAGACTAGACAAAACCGAATGGATCTGACTAACCGTCGTGATAATGTCACTAACTAATACACTACTTTGAAGCTAGCTCGATACAAAGATACTTTAACTAGATAGTTAATATTAATTTGACCTCGTGGAGTCCTTAGATGATTTTAAAAATAGCGGAATGACAACTGATTGACTTCAGTCAAATAAGGATAAATTCTCCATAATATAACGACTATAACTATCTCTTATCTCTAATGTACCACTCAGTTTAAGCAAAACTAAACAGTAAATCTTTAGCTATCTTTTTGATTAACCTAGGTCACTGTGTTCGGGTAGTCCGTTATCGGCTACCGCTACACAACACGAATGCTGATGCTGAATAATGTCACCTGGAGCCATAGTCACGCCTTACTGTGTTCAACTATTACCTTGAATGTAAGATTGAATAAAATAGCCCACTTTATCTTTTCAGCTAGAGTCAAAGAAAGCAATAAAGCAAAGAAATTGTTCACTTCAACTCGATTCTATTATTTTGCTATTTAATTAGATTATTTATTATTTTATTTCATTTTAATCATTTATAAGATAGTTAAAGAGAATGGTAGAGAAAACTCTAACTAAGCCAGATAGAAAGGTTATTTTTCCTACTTTAATCGTAGTATTTGGGTTTTCCTAGTTTTTTTATTCGAGGATCAAAAACTATTATCCTTATAATCTTGTACTGGCCAGAGTCGAACTAGCTTCTTACTTTGAAAGTATACCATCTAAACACCAATACTAATTTTACTACTTTATTCATGAAACTATTCCAACTCTAGTGGGTTCCTAACATTAACTCATGTGCTAACTTTAGTACTGGTGTTTTAGAAGACCCTGACGACCAAATGGCCCCAACGCTGTATATATCCACAAGGTCAGGGGTAAAAGCCACTCTTTTAACGTATACTCAAGGGAAGGTTTAGCGCCTTTAAATAAAGTTAAAGTAGGTGTTTTTCTCCCTTTTAGGCTTCGTAGTAGGCAATATAATTATATTTCCTACTCGAACGAGGTCTTTTTTTTCAATTGTTGATTGAGGTTATTGCTTGACCGAGGACTTGAAGTTTTCGACGGGTTCTCTAAATGTCCCAAGTGTCGAAGAAGAGGGGTCTCAAATTTCACTAATAACATCTGCAAGACAAAGCACTCTTTTGCGGGGAGAAAAGATCAGAAGATATGTTTCTTTGCCGAGAGAATAACGATTTATGAACCGTTATTAAGACATCAGTCCTCACTCTCGAAAACTTAAGTATTGATAAACTTGAGGGGCCAACTCTTTTAGAACATATTTCTTGTAGAAGGGGAGATTGTACCAGCGCAGAAGTGTGCGCAAATAAAGAAAACCTGTTCTTTAGACTTTAAAAAATATAACAAACTGGTTATTTTTACATGTGGCATTCATTTACATTTTATTCTATGCCAAAAGAAGGCCGTCCCTTGACTAGTATGAAAGTTATCTGTATGGCCTTGTGCAAAAAGGTCTTCTGACTAAAAAATATGATAAAAAAATGGAATCTATTACTTTACTTACAATAAAGTGTTAATAAAAAAATTTTAACTTTTTATTACCTTTTAAACCAACAAAAAAAATAGCCTTAGAATTTCCCCACTGCCTTTTATAAAAAAATTATAATTTTAAAAAAACAGTTTTTTTAGTTACTTTTTCCTACTAAAGTAATAGCATATAAATTTTTGGTCTTTTAGACACTATATATAACTTTTTAAGATATTATTAAATGCACAGCAATTTGCATAAAACAAAAAAAATCAAAAACTTACAAGTTAGAAAGTCACTACTTTAAAGATCAATAAGAAAAATTTAACCTATGTATATCACAATTTGTATAATAGAACCAACCACCATGGGCAATTCAAGCTGAGGACTTTAGATCTTGACAACACTTTCCTAGCCCTGCGTACAACGCAACATGCAATAGCAGGTCCACGTCTTATTTTAGCAGGTCGGGTTTTTATTTGGTTTAATTAAATTTATTTTGAGCTTTCGGATTAGTCTAAAAGATTTAATTGCAACAATTTAAATTCTGTTTTAAAAAATTACAAACCCTACCCTAGGCAACCTGAAAAAGCTACTGTTATTTTTAGGAATTACCAGCGTACTGATAAACCTACTAATGTTAAAGGCTCGACACCCGACGCTTATATTCCGAATTTACTAGAGTCTTTGGAAGGAGGTGAACAACCCCCTTTAGATTTTAGATTTTGTTGAATGTCTTAGTCGAAAGTGTTTAAATAAAGTATCTAAATCTGTTTAAAAAAAATATATTTAGTAAAAGTATTTAACTTAGTATTTACTTAGTTGTCCTCTAGACTACTAAGCTATTTTTTAACTTCAGCTATAACGCCCTCTAGACGTTAATCTTTGGTTTACCTTTCTACACTAAAATTGTAACCTTTATAATATCACTGGTTCCTCTAGACCAAACGTAAAAGTTAAACACTAAAGACCCCGTAAAAACCGAAAAGAAAGAAGGGAAGAAAGAGCAAAATATATATGGCGAGCCATCTGTTTTATTAAAAGAAATTTGTATATACCATACATACCTTAGCAATAGATTATTAAAGGTACCTAATAAACATATAGTTACCCTCAAAAAATTTCAAATTTTGAATCCGTGCTGTGAGGTGGTAACTAAATACTGGAAAAAAAAGGGTTGATAGCATTACCGTGGATAAACAACAAGGGACGTTAGGGCACGGCATAAGAGGTCTGAGAACAGAAGTCATAAAGTTGATTATTGCATTTTGGGAGTATCGCCTGATATGGACCCTACTGGCAATCTAGTTAGACTACATAAAATAATAGAAGAAATACAAATGTTCTGGATCTTTTACTTTAGGAGGATTTCTAAATATATTGTTTGATGCCCGTCGCAGGCCACCTGTAGATTTTATACGAGAAATTTTTATATTTTTAAGTAGATTTTGGCCCTTAAAAAAAAATTGTTGATAAAATTAAAAAAGTTTTTTTTTGTGGAAAATCCATAAATTTTATTACTTTTCGTTTTTCCTAATGGTTGATGGCTTTCATTATTTTTGGTCTGGGTTAAAGTTAAACTGTGATGAATTAGAATTTTGTATGCCTTTGTTTTAGGGCCCATTGGTGTGTGTTTTTTTTTCCCTTAAAATAAATGTTATCTCTACCTTTTGTTCATTACATACTATGGTGTCAGATATATATTTTATATATACTTCAAACTATAAAATCTTTTAAGGTAGATTTTTGCGACCAAGTGAATTGTTTACATACTTCTGTGGGTATATCTATTAGTAATGGTATAAATAATTTACTTGACTACATTACATTTTTTTGAATTACTTTTTGTCTTAGCACTTCAAGTGTTCCTTGCTATTTAGTACTCTTTACTCTTTGACTTTGTTATACCCGTCGAGGCCTTATATTTATCTCTTTTACAAGATCTTTTATAGCTATATAGTTTATCGTACCAAGTCTATATTTCGCAGGTGTACTAAAAGCAAAACAAACTGACATTACCTTTCAAATTTTTAATAACTGATAAAATTTAGTATTGTTTGCATATTTATAATTCTAAAAAATTCTTTTCTATAACATCTAATTTATAACCTCAAAATATTAGTAAAAAACCAAGATATTATGTTAAATAAATAAGGACTTAAGTTGAACCTTCGAGTAGGTCTAGGAAAACTATAGGTGTTAGTGTAGCTTAC